AATCCAGTCACTTCTGGAGGATCCTCGGTTCTACCCTTTCGGAACTCCTAAGGTAATCATGAAATCTGTTCTCATCCTTTTAGAATGGGATTGGCTGGAAGCAAGAAAAGGGAGGGAGGTAGTAAAGGCAGAAGGCACACAAAACAGCAATACATTTCCAAATTATATTGCGTAGATGGGTACCAACTTCATACACAAATGTGGATTGTAAATTTTCTAAAATTTTCTAAGTTGAGCCAAACCAACTAGTAGTTTTTGGGAACCATTTTTCCAGACCATCACAAAATCATCTCAACAAATAGACGTGGGTCAACCAATCAATAACATTTTTGTTGGAGGCAAAGAGCTGGAGAATGGTCAAATACAAGATTCACAAAGAGAAAATTCGAGACAGAAACTATTCATTTTAATCCTCAACTGGGAGGGTGATTTCCAAATTATGCAATAATGTATGTACTTCAAATCTTCAGAGCATTCAAGATTGAAACAACAAAACAAATTAGGTTTTTTCTTTTATTCCTCAAATGCAGTTGAACTCGAAGAGGTTCACCTGCAAGATGTGAAGCTCAAACTAATAGCCCCAGTAATCATTTCGGATTTCATCATCGAACTTCTTCTTTAGCTCAGGATGCTTCTCAAAGTATTCATCAGCTGTCATCGTACTAAGCTTCATCTGTTGCACCAAGAAATCGAATGAGAAATCCAGAGAAAATAATGAGGTGGTGTTGGAACTTATACTGTCAAATAAAATGTGAATATATCACCTTCAACTCTTGGACATCTGCAATTTCTTTTTCTAGTCTTTCAGATTCCTTGAGTGACTTCTGCTCAGCCTCTTTAAGCTCTATCAACTGTAGCTCAAGACAAGAAACTTTAAGAATAAAGGATAATTGCAAATGAAGTAATGCAACTGCACCGACGTCAAGATATCTTCAGTTGTCATCAGTTTAAGAGGGTAATATAGATCAACAGTGTATGCTGATTTTCTGCTATTACTGAAAACGCCCTCCCCCTTTGGGATGAATTTCACCTCTTGAGCAGTTATGGGCCCTGTTTGGAGTGATTTTTCGCCTCCAAAAAATTGATTATCTTATCGTTATTTTACTATTGTAGCCGTAATTTTTGATTTCTTCTCTCACAGGTAGCCCCACTTTTTTCCTAACGGTCAAAAAATCAATTCTCAAAATCCCTCCTGAACGGGCCCATAATATAATGCACTTTGATGATTGTGATCATGTAGTGATTTGGGAAAAAGGAAAAGAAAAATCATATTACTTTCAAGAGCAAATCGAGATGTTCTTCCAAGAATAATAGTACTTCAGGATCCTTTGAAAACCCCGCTTGACAAATACTTTAGCTTTTTTGTATTTTTTTTCAATTTAAAAAAATATTGTTTGCCTTGAATTTTTCAAAATGCTTGTGTAGCTATAATCCCAGCAAATATTAACATCTAAATTTTACCACATCCCCCGGCAGTTGTGAACCAAATTCATGACTTTTAATGAATTTATCAGTCCGTGGGACACAGAGAGGAGAAAGAAAGAAATTTCCCGAACATTGCACATATTTGCCCAAAACTGCAATTGTAGATTATATTCCTAGTTCTCCTCACCAGAGCATCAAACTTGGGCTTGTACTGAGGAGTGACATTGTCAATGTATTGGGGGATTTTAACCTCTGCAAAGCAAGAAATGATTGATCAGATAGTATCACTTCAAGCCAGAAAGTCAAACAGAAAAGTGCAAACAGGCTCCAAACAGCGGCAGAAATTTATCTAGAAGCTCAAAAATCTAAACAGTAATAAGTTTGAACAAAATTAACCTTCTTATAAAATTTCTTAAAAGAAGCCATTCATTAATGAACGATACATAATCCAAAATTTCCCCTGGAAAGTAGCTCCTTCCTTCGTGCTCAGCATTTTTGCCACTCGTTGCAACAACTTTCTCAGCCTTTTGGATTTTAGGCACATGAGTTACAAGTTTTTGTGTGCATATACAAGGACGGACACATGTGAAAAATAAGAGGAACAAAAGAAAAGCAATATAACCTAGGCCTTTCTAAAACATTCCCCATTGTCCATAATGGAATCACTTCAAGGTGAATAAACCAAAGGTCAAGGTCATTTAATTGGGACCAGAGTAACTTCTACCAGCAACACTTTTCTCTTGCATTGATCTGAAGCTAGAGATTCTGAGGAGTTGTTCTAAATTCTAAAATTTGAGATAGTAATTTCCCCGTATCATCTCCCCAAGCATACTATTGTTCTCATTTCTACATCAACATTGAGACCAAATCTTCCAAAATGGACAGCACTATTACTGATTTAAAATTCAAATTTATTACTTGCTCAATTAGAATCTATCCTCAAACAAAGTTGACCGTTAAAAATTAAATTGATGCAGCCGTGCAATAATATGAAAAGAGTATCTTGCATCTGAGGCTGTTTCGGGGGCTTCTACTTCATGATGCCACATTAAACACTAATTTTTAAGATGACAATCTATGACAAACTATCAATATATACATGCAGATTGTCTGAAGGTCCAAGTTGACGTAACAAAATATGAATTGCACGGGAAAATTTTTACTCGGAATAAAATTCTGGATCTTCATAAAACTGAGAACACTTTCAATTCCCTATTTCAATATCTCTTTCGTCTCCCTCTCTTCTTTTCTCCCCATTCTCCCTTCTCTTCCCATTTCTCTTCTCTTCTTGTATAATTCTAGTTCTTGTTCAATTGCATCCATCGTCATTAAGTTTAGCCAAACATGCCATAAATGGATAGCATGTGGTCTCTATATCTGTTACATACATACAGTTATATGATTACAGGTGGTAATCTGGCATTGGAATCATGAACCTACCTGTATTCACACTACTATTTTATGGGTTGGGTTGCTGATTAAATTCACGTGTCAAAGTTCTGCTGGGTTTCTTTAAATCTGCTGACTAGATTTCAAAAATGAGTCCTTTGAAGCATTAGATTACCATCACCAGCATCATGTAAAACTCCGACCTAATATATAGATTAGGTGTTTGTGAATTGTGTGAGATTTGTGATTTTGGGTGTTTTCCCACTGGTGACTGGTGTTGGCGACAATAAATGATTGCTCTTTTGGCGATGGCTGGTGGTTACCACTGTGTTTGTGGCCGTTTGGCAGGGGGTGGGGCGTTCTTTTTCCTTTTATTTAATCTAAAATAAAGTTATAGCGGTCTTTTTTAACACAGATTATGACTTAGCGTCTGTTTGACACCCTTTTTTTGGCATTTTCAAGAGTTTCAAATCTTCTCAACAACCACCTGACATAAAGTAACTTTTGGTTCAAGACTAAGACCCCTTGGAAACTGGTTTTCCACTCATGACCTCATTTACAACGTGGCAAATTACAACATTGCCCTTGTAAGATGTGGTTAATGGTACAAATGACTGGGGAAAAAAACAATATTGCCTTAAAGTAAAACTTAACATTCAGGTGATAAGACTACATGTCACTCTTCAAGGACCTACCATACTATTGAAAACATAGTTTTCCAATCCAAAATAATGAGTGTCAAACAGACACTTAGTAACAGTCAAATGAACAGTTACTGTCTATTGAGGACATAAAAGAACCACACTGTAGAGATTGGAAACCTATGTGCTCACTTTTGTAGCTTGGGAACCTAGATGCTCTAACATGTAAAGGTTGGGAAGCCAAGGTTTAATGTTCCCTATCTGAAAAATAAGCCAAGGTCTAATGTTACCTATCTGAAAAATAAGTATGTTACTATACTACCCCGACCAGAGCACGTGCAATAAGAAATTTAAACAAAGTGCTACTTGATAACCAATCATATTTTTACAGCCAATTTTCAAACAATGGAGAAGTTAAACTAGATCTGCAAAATGAAACTAAATAAGATGCTTTAAATGAAATCATAATCAGATTATTAGAAGAACGCATATACTGAATCATATTTCATAAATAAAGAAACTACTCTGCATGCATAAAAAACCCATACTACATGCTGAAATTAGTTTTTGGGCAATCAAGAGAGTACTTGAACTCATGGTCAAGAATCTCCCTAGCATCAAATTATATATGCTTTATCAGACTCTCAAGAGCTATCATATAGACAGTACCATGAATTCATCTTTTCAGGGCAATAATACATTCACGGGAAAGGTATTGAAAGCTTTTTATAACAGAAGTATATATTCTCTTCCTTTCGGATGATACCAATATATTTAGATGAAGATATTGCATAACTCACCATGATGAGATGAGACCATATAGATTTGTTGGCATCTTTTGCCCAGTAAAGTTTATTGGTTCAAATTCAACATGCATGTTGGTGACGGTAATATATAGGGGATTTGATAAAAATAAAGAAAAATGAATGTTGCAGTGCTGCAAGCTGTTAGTATATGTTGAATTGTAGTACAGCTTAGATTAAATGAGCACCATTGTTCTAATTGAAAGCGCTTAAATCTTATAAAACATGCTAAATATAATAAGCATTTACACTTATTTGCTATGACGTCAAATACCACCTTAGTCTAAGAAGCAAAACTATTGTCACCAAAGATTAAATAACAATCCATAATGTTCTCTCTCAGTGAATACATCCATATCATTATTTTTAACATTGAATTGAGAGTACATCAAATGAAGAAAATAGTCTTGCAGAAAGGACACAAAAACCCTGTTCAGGAAGAGATTTGGCAGATTTTTTGTAATAAAAAACCAAAAGCAACATATGGCACATACCATCATATGCTTGCTTATAAATATCAACCAAGCGAGAGCCAATCCCTTTTCTGTAATACTCCCAGTCAATGGGTTCTGGTTCCTGCAAGATTTAACAAACTAAAGGCCAATTGAAGAAATCAAATATTTAGAGTATCCGTTCTACTGGTGTTTCAAAAAGACAGAAGAACTTGGCACCACTGCACAGTTTAGAAACCACTGCCAAGACATGAATGTTCTGAAATATAAGTCATTTAAATTGGAATATCACTATATGAAAACACACTGGAGGATAAAACCCTTTTAATTTAAGCAGATAGCAGGTATTATGAGAATTTTTTTTATTTAGACAAATAAAGAATTTTTTGACCACACACCACTCATTCCTCTGGGGCTCAGAATGTTTTACATGATGATATAGGAGAATTCTGGCCATTACACTACGAGTAGTGGGTAGCCTTTTTTTTTTTCGTAATTACCAGTTTGAAAACTTATTGTTTACTACTTTATTGATCTATGTTATGTTTGTTTACCATTTTATTTTTGTTAATTTGTTATATTATGAAATTTTAACATGGCTTATAGTTTGTTAAGAACAAATTTTCCTATTCTTCTGAGTTAGTTTATTGGTTTTCATAAGCCTCAAAACACCTTAAGCCTTATGTTTGCCTCCCAATGTCCTATTGTGCCATTTCGATCATTGCTTTGGACCGTCGCTCAGAAAACACACTATTGTATATGCTTGAAATAACAAATTAAAATGTAAATATTACAGACACATTGATAAATTTATTTTCCCTATTGATTTTGCATATTCTAATTCAAATTTGAGATTTCGGATTTGCATAGGATCCATCTGGCTTATGAAAAGTTAGGGAAACATAAGAACATGACCTCAAAGCTTTGAAGAAAAAAAGGTAGAACTCTATCCCTCGACAGACAAACATTGACTTTCATTCATTCCCTCTACAACTTTTTTTTTTTTTGATAGGTATTTCCTCTACAACTCAGCCAAACATCATTGAAGGCACTGAAACTGATGTAAAAAATAAAATAAAATTATAAATTGCTCAATGTATCGAACGAAATTCACGAAGAGCTACAAATCCCCTAGATCTGTACCATACACAGTTGAATCAAAAAAATTCCAAATGATAAATTCATACAAATACACAAAATTAATTCAATGCATACATAAAGAGATGAAAGAGAGTTGGGGACCTGGCTGAACTTGGTCTGCAGCTGGGTGTTGACGTCATCGAATGCGCGGCGAAGGGTGGCGAACTCTTTGCGGGCCTCATCGGAAACAAGAAGCTTCGCCATCCCTTCCCAATCGATCGTCTTTCCAGCCTTGAATGCTACATCTACAATCTTCTTTCCTACTCCACTCATTTTTTCTATTCCCTATTTGTTCGATCAAGAGGCAAATTATAGAAGGATTGAGTAATTGAATGAACACACAGCGGCAATTTGAGTCGGAGAGAGTCAGGTTGTATCTCTGTGTTTGTTTTGTACGGCTGAGGTAGATACGGCCTCTCAACGAGTGGCAGAACTAGGAAGCAGCCGGGCCGAGCCGGCTCAAGCCCATTTCTCACGAATTGGACGAG